GCCTGCTGGAAATAGCCATCTGATGGAGACTTCCAGCAGGATAACGCGCCATGTTATAAACCACAAATCATCTCAGACTTGTTTCTTGAACATGACAATGAGTTCACTGTACTCAAATAGCCTCCACAGTCACTAGATCACAATCCGATAGAGCACCTTTGAGATGAGGTGGAACAGGAGATTCGCATCATGGATGTGCAGCTGACAAATCTGCAGCAACTGTGTGATTCTATCATGTCAATATGGAGCAAAATATCTGAGGAATATGTCCAGTATCTTGTTGAATCTATGTCATGAAGGATTACAGCAGTTCTGAAGGCAAAAGGGGGTCCAACCTGGTACTAGGGAGGTGTACCTAATAAAGTGGCCAGTGTGTGTGTGTATATATACATATATATATATATATATATATATAGGCAAGGCAAGGCAAGTTTATTTATATAGCACATTTCATACACAGTGGCAATTCAAAGTGCTTTACATAAACAGGAATAAAAAAGACAAGTTTAGGAACATAAAATGCAGACAATAAAAATTATTAAAAACAGATTAAACAAATTAAAATGAGTTAAAATAGGTAATAAAAGAATGAAAAAGAAAACATAATAGTGCGATCTGTCGGACGCAGCACAGTGCTCATTCAGTAAAGGCACAGCTAAACAGATGTGTTTTCAGTCTTGATTTGAATGTGCCTAATGTTGGAGCACATCTAATCATTTCTGGAAGCTGATTCCAGCAGTGAGGAGCATAGTGGCTGAAGGCAGATTATATGTACACACACACACACACACACACACACACACACACACACACAGTTGAAGTCAGAATTATTCACCCCCCTTAGATTTTTCTTTTTTTTTTTTTTTAGTAAATATTTGCCAAATGATGTTTAACAGAGCAAGGAAATTTTCACAGTATGTCTGATAATATTTTTCTTAAAGTCTTACTTGTTTTATTTCGGCTTGAATAAAAGCAGTTTTAAATTTTTTAAAAGCAATTTTAAGGTCAATATTATTAGCCCCTTTAAGCTATATTTTTCTATAGTTTATAGAGCAAACCATCATTATACAATAACTTGGCTAATTACCCTAACCTACCTAATTAACCTAGTTAAGCCTTTAAATGTCACTTTAAGCTGCATAGAAGTGTCTAAAAATATCTAGTCAAATATTATTTACTGTCATCATGGCAAAGATAAAATAAATCCTTTATTAGAAATGAGTTATTAACTATTATGTATAGAAATGTTGAAGAAATCTCTCTAAATAGAAATTGGGGGAAAAAATAAACAGCGAGCTAATAATTCAGGGGGATAATAATTCTAACTTTAACTGTATATAAATATATCAGTGAGAATTGTATCCCACAATGCGCTTTGGCAAAATTTAACCAGTCATGTCATTTTTATAGAAAAGTGCTTTTAAAAATGCAAGAAGCTTTTACTCTCCAATGATTACATGATGACGAGATCATGCAGCAACATTATAACAGGCGCAAAACATGTTTATAGAGGGTGACAAAATCCAATATGAAATCTTTATTAAAATCTGTGTACGTACCGTCAGACCAGGTTCTCCTTTTTTCCCTGCATTACCCTGTGATAAGACAATATTTAGTATGTTAAATGCAGTAAATACAGAGATGTGTGTTTCCAAGACGTTGTGCTTGGAATCATTAGGGAACAGATCCACACTGAGTGAGATTCAAAAGGGCAATTCTGGCATGGGCGGTGGATGCACTATCTAGCACCCTAATGACTGAAGCTATAGGCTGATTATTAGCCTCTACAGATCAACTCTCGCTAGCTGGCCTGCATTACACAGGCCTAAAACTCACTCCAATCCAGGTCACAGCACCAATGTAATCCTTCTGGTTCAAGTCAACCTGCTCAGAGTGGACTTTGAACTGGCATTTTTAGCATGAAAGAGGATAGTTGCTAGTATGTTTCCTTAAATCAGAGGAGAAAGGTTTACTTGTACATCTTTCTTACTGCCCACTAAGCAATTTGGTTTTTCATAGACAACTAATAGACATCTGAACATAGACGGCTTGACTCAAACAAGGCTAAATTTGGACTGTCAGTGAAAATCTAATAGATGTAGCCTAAATAGCCTAAAACTAGACTAGTCATCAAACATACTGATTAAACAGACTTCACATGTGCATTCATTTTATCTTTGATTTTCAATACCCTCAGACTTCTGTTAGATTTTTACTTGCAGCCCGAATTGAAACTTGTTTTAGCCGAGATGCCTGTGCTTATATGTCTATTAGATGTCTGTTATACTTTTTTTTAACACAAAAAAATTGTTTGCTGGTTGGCCATCATTATTATACTCAAGGAGACAGAGACAAGTAATCAAATAGTTTCAACCCAGGCTCATTCTGAAAACGTAGTCCTGTGGACGCTTCTGGAGACCGCAAAATATGTCCCGGGATGTATGTATTTTTGCAGTTTTTGTTTTCACGAATCCGCAAGAGGTCGCTCTTTTCGCATCTCCCTCGCGGGTGCTGTTCGCACCTACACTGTTCTTGCATGAACCCACCAGAGGCAGCTGTTGATCGACCGTCTGTTTGACTGACCGAATGGCTGACCGGGCGACTAGCCGATTGACCGAGCCACCCTCCTCCTTTCCTAAACCCAACCAATTTTATTGATTGACCCGCTTACTTTCCTAAACCCAACCGATGGTTTAAAAAGCCGTCCAGAAAAAGAAAAGCCCTCGTCTGATTTTTACCACGTTTTCGGATTTGACCACATTCTCCCCCTGTTATTCACTTGTTCATTTTATTTTTTTGGATTCTGTTTTTGTCTTACCTGATTTCTGGAACTGCTCTTCCCTGGACTCTAACCTGGTCGTCGTGGTCAACACCTCTCTGCGTGTCAAGTCTGCCGACATGCACGACGAGCTAATTGGACAAACTGGTTGTGCGAGAGCCCTCCACATGGAGGTTAGCGTTCAGCTGGTAAGCACGAAAACGAACAGCGTCATTGTGCCCTGTAGCATCCACTTAAAATGAAATGAAGCCATACTTGCCTCCGACTACATAATTTGCGGTCTCCAGAAACGTCCAAGAGACCACGTTTTCAGAATGAGCCTGTGTTGAATGTTTTTCTCACCGGTGGTCCTGTTAGTCCTGGTTCCCCTTGGCGTCCTTCTTCTCCTTTACGTCCTTGAGCTCCTTGAAACCCACGATCACCCTACAAATGCGGCAGTAAGATCAAAGGTCAACATCACAATTGTTTTTCAAACACGCAATGGAACATTTTACTTTAGGCTTAAATTTAAGAGATCTACTGTAGTTTTATTGAAAAGAGCAGCTCAAAAATGCTCCCACACATTTGAAATGATATTAGACGGAGTAGATGGTGATTCATTTTTTACTTGCTATAAGAGCAAGTATGACTTCTCACCTTCTGCCCTGGCAGGCCTTCTCCAGTTAAGCCTCTTGGCCCCTGTAATCCCTGATATCCAGGTTCACCCTGTACAGAAGAAACGGGTGAAGTTCATATGTATTAAACTGTTTCAGTGTTTCACAGCTACAGTATATCCCATTGTTTTGTATGCTGCTGAGGTGCCTGATTCCTGTTACCTTTTGTCCTTGTATGCCCTCTCCTGGTAATCCTGGAGGACCAACTGGTCCTGTTAGACCAATAGAGCCCTGCATATCACAAAATCACATCTGAGCATGCAGTACCTAAAAGGCGAATCTAAACACAATCACATTAAAGGGCTTTTTTCTCTGTGACATTATAACAATAAAGTAAACTTCTCCCTAATTTTATGATTTGCTCAACATATCTACAATACAAATCAAATGAATCATACCACAGTATATAGTGATGCAATGGAGTATTGATTGTAATATGCGTTAAATATTCTACACTACCTGACGAAACTGGTCGCAACTTGAGTTCTAGTAGATCATTTGGTATCAGACGTGGCTTACATGAAAAGGCAAAGGCCTGCATATTATGCTTATTTGATCAAAATAAAATATGATCATGCCTTGATTTTTAACTATTTAACTGAAACAGTAAGATCTGACTTTGCTTATGTAACTAGAGGCCATGGTCTTTAGCCTCCTTGGCAGAGCACCCGACTCCCATGCGGAAGGTCGCCGGTTCGATACCAGCTCGGAGCGGGTTGGGTGGCGTAGGACCGGCGAGGTTACATTTAGTCAAAAGTCAGAAAAAATGTACAGTATAAATAATGAATATTGTGTATGACTCTCATAAACTTGGAGGACTGCATCCATACATCTCTGCAATGACTCAAATAACTTAGTCATCTGGAATGGTAAAGATTTACCATTCTTGATTTTTTTTGGATTCATCTTTGATGCCTCCTTTATCTTACCCTAGGCAGGCTCAATGTTCATGATTGGGGACTGGGCTGGCCAATCCTGGAGCACCTTGGCCTCCTTTGCTTTCAAGAATTTTGATGTGGAGGCTAAAGTATGAGAAGGAGCGCTATCCTGCTGAAGAATTTGCCCTCTCCTGTGGTTTGTAATGTAGTTATTATTCCTTCATCAAACTTGACTGGTTCCATTAGATCTTCTGCAGTATTTGTGATGATTGGGATGTAGTTGAACAGATGATTCATCTGAAAAATCTACCTTCTGCCACTTTTCCAAGTGATCAACTAGAAGTCAAGTTATTTTTGTTGCTTTTACAACTGGGATCAACGACAAGATTTTTGTCAGGTAGTTTACAAAGCTTTATGTTTTCCTAACCTTTGGGCCCATCTGCCCAAGACCTGTTGCTCCAGCTGGGCCGGGGGAGCCTTGAGGGCCTCGTTCACCCTGTGACAACAAAATATATACATTGATTAAACTCGCTTAAGATGTTTGCATTTTCGGAAGTAAAATAGGCAGGATGAAAACAACTTACCTTTGGTCCTGGTAAACCAATACCCTCTGGTCCAATTTCCCCTGTAAGTCCCGGAAGGCCTGGTGGCCCCTAAAGATCACAAGCAACATTTACTGATTTGTATGTAAGATTAAATACAGATTGTACAAATGTAACTACAGTATAAACCATGAATAATGGTCTTTGTAATGTTTATACTTACAGGTGGGCCAGGATAACCTTCTCCCTTCAGCCCTGGTGGTCCAAAAGATCCTGGTAATCCTATTTCGCCCTAAAGACAGAGTAAATTGAATTACATCAGTCACAAAACAGTACAGGTTTCTGCTATGTGACACCTTACCTTTGGCCCTGCAATACCAATCCCTGGTTCTCCAGCAGGTCCTGGTGGACCAACTGGCCCAAGATCCCCCTACAAGAACATAAACATGGTATGAGACCTCATCTACAGTGACCTCAAAAAGTAATTAAGCGTTTAAGCCATGTTGACAGATCTTATAACGTTGTACCTTTGCTCCTGGTATACCCCGTCCTAAAGGCCCAGGAACACCTGGAGGTCCAACATTTCCTGGGTTTCCCTGTTTTGCAGGGACATTCAGAGAAAAATAATAACAAAGACAGTCCTTTTCTTGACTATGTATTTTGTGTTCGTTTTAAAATGTGAATCGATTTTTTTTTTTACCTTTTCCCCTGTTGCCCCAGCTGGTCCCGTTGGTCCTGGTTGACCCCTGGAACCCCTCTCTCCTCTATCTCCCTATTGAAGAAAGACATACATATGGTCCTACATTGCAAAACAGCACAACTCTTTGAGGCATGACCACTACAAGATCCCTCAAGTTGTCCCTTAAATCGGGTATGTTGTAAGGTGGAGCGGCTGTGCATAAATCTTGGTGGTCCTGCACATCTCACAGATGTTCAGTTGGGTTGAGGTCTGCCGAGTTTAGAGGCCAGGGCAACACCCTGATCTCGTCATTTCGTCATCTCGTTTCTGAACAATGAGTGCTTTTATAGGAGGATGCATTATCCAGCTGAAAGGGGCTTCGAGTTTGCCAGCAGAACATTGCTCAGAGTCGACTCCTTACATCACTAAAGCCCTTTTCACACATACAGACCTTTCCAGAAAATTACCAGCAATTTTCCAGAAAGGTGTGTATGTGTGAACCGGTCCTTTTTGAAAATACCGGTAAATTCGTTCTGGCTATTTTTCGGAAAGAGAAGTTGTAACATTACCGGCAATTTGCCGGAATGCTGCGCTGTGTGAACGCAGAAGGAAGATTACCGTAATAAGCGCGTGCACGTCTAGAACGTGCTGACGTGAGACGTCTGCTTTAGCCAATCAGAACAGTCAGACGCATTCACATCCGCACGGTTTATGAGAATAAAAGCCTTTGAATATTTTTCCAGACACATTCAGCTGCTAGAAATTAGTCAGATAACGTTTAATGCCAACCGTGCAAATAATTATCGATAAGATGCTTATGATAAGCCGTTGTTTGTTTACCATCAAGCTTTGCGTGTGCCCGTGAAACAGCCTGTAAGCGCCAGCACACACACACATCATGTACATGTCGACATGCGAAAGTGTTTCTCTATATGTTTTCATCTGAGTTGTTCACAATACTGATCCATCCACAGAGTTTGTAATGTAGTCAAATGTTTACAAATACAAGCGCAGCCGTTTAGAGCTCATTTCTGGTTGATGATGTCAGAATTTACCGGTATTTTGGAATGATTGTGTGAATGCTTTTTTCCGCAAAAATTCCGTAACGTCCTCGCCTGTGTGAACAGCACTTTTGGAAAATTTCCATATATTTACTGGTATCACTGTGTAAAAGGGGCTATTGTCTAGTTTGACAGTATCCTGGTGCTATCACTTCTACAGGTAGCACATGGTGTAAAAGGCAGTGGAACTCATGTCACTAAGTGAATTTCTTCCACTACTAGGTCCAGTTTCATTCAATTCAATTCAATTCAGCTTTATTTGTATAGCGCTTTTACAATGTAGATTGTGTCAAAGCAGCTTCACATATAAATGGTCATAGTAACTGGAACAGTGTGGTTCAGGTTTTAGTGTTTAAGTTCAGTTCAGTTCAGTTTAGCTCAGTTCAGTGTGATTTAATCATTACTGAGAGTTCAAACACAGAAGAGCAAATTCATCGATGCGTAGCTCTACCAATCCTGAAACATGCGAGGCAGTGGCGACAGCGGAGAGGGAAAAAAAACTTCACCTGATGGGAGTGAAGAAAAAAACCTTGAGAGAACCAGACTCAGTTGGGTACGACCATTTTAATTTCTCCGCTGGCCAAAAGTCTTGTGCAGAGCTTCAGCCGCCGTGGTTCATTGTAGGCACTTTAATAATGGATAGGTTCAAAATAGATACTTAGCACTCAATACCCTGTTGCACTCGCAGGTTTGAGGTTTTCCCTTCTCAGACCACTGTTGGGAAATTTTCACTAATGATGATCAGGAGCAACCCACAGCTAATGCTGAGGATATCATTTTAGAGCAATTTGGGAAATGATGCCATCAGTGGGCAACCATGTGAAACCCAGGGCAACTAATTATGCCAACCAGATCCAGATACAATTTTATTTCCTATTCTCAATAGAAAAGTAGTGAAGCAACATTGATCTGCAATATTGTCTGTAAACATTGCCAAAAAAGTTACCCCATGTATCATTAGCATACATCTTGCGGTTACTCTGAGATACTCCGCTTTCCACAACAGTCTTTAGTCCTTCCCATTTCTCCTGCATACAACATGTTGATTTAGAGAGCTAAAGCTGCGGTCACACTGGGCTTTTCCTCCCATAGACTTCCATTCATACGTACGCGAATGCGTCAGACCGGAAACGAGAGGTCATGCATCAAGTTTCGCAGGTTTCTGAGGTGCAAAGTTTAAGCTTGGTGAGCTTTGACCTGCGAAATCCCATCACTTGACTGCTTGAGAACAGTCGAGGATCAAAACATGACCTCTCTAGACAGAAATTGAAAACATGGAGCAATAGTTCGCTTTTAAAAAAGTCTAATAAGCATGTTTAATCCCACCCCTTTTCGCAGCGCTGGACGACAGAATATCACAAGCTCAAATTCTAATGTGTCTGCAGCTTAGTAATATTTGTAATTATTAATATTAGCTTCATCTGTGATTGATCACGATAAATGGATTTTGCATTACCTTCTCTCCTGGTAGGCCTCTTCCAGGGGGTCCATCTGGTCCTTTAGCTCCTGGTAGGCCTATCTCACCCTAAAACCATCATAATTAACAACATTATAAAATATTACAAGTTTTATAAGCTGTCCAAAATGTGCTATTAAGACTACCTTGGGTCCAGATGCTCCATCTTGTCCTGGAATACCTGGATCACCTGCTAAACCACGTAAACCAGGTTCACCCTATGGCATCAATACATACGCACAACTCTGAATAAATATCAAATAACAAAATCATTCAAGTCATATCAGCACTGTTTAGTCCAGTGGTCTCAAACTCAATTCCTGGAGGGCCACATCTCTGTACAGTTTAGCTGCAACCACCTCCAACTCACACCTGCTTAATAATCTCATGTAGTCTTGAACACCTTGGTTATTTGGATCAGCTGTGTTTGATTAGGGTTGAAGCAAAATTGTGCAGATTAGTGATGGGTCGTTCATGAGCGATTCGTTCATTTTGAACGAATCTTCAATATGACTCGGGAACTACGAGTCCTCTCAGGGAGTGATTTGTTCATCCGCGTGTGCGCACATTTGTGCAGGTAGTATCGTTAATTTCAAGTCTTCATCACATTGGCAGAAGCCAATCATACGCGTTTAGAGCCGGAAAGAATTGATCCGTTCATCTCTCGAGTCCTCTATCAGGTCTGAGTCACTCGTTCCTCACGGGCCAATCATATGCGTTTAGAGCCGGAAAAAGAATTGAACCGTTCATCTCTCGAGTCCTCGGGTTTGAGTCATTTTGTCACGTGATGAACGAACGATCAAGGCTCCTATCGGCTTAGACTGTGCATTGATTAAGATTATATGTGATGGTCAGTGTAACGTGAATGAACCCCTGACATTTGAAGACATGAAGAGGTGAGCTGAGCAAAGAAACAAAAATGCCTTCATAGACAGAAGAGCAGGTAAACATTGAATTATTATTTTCTCCTTTGTATATTCTATTTATGATTTATTTGTTGTGTGATCAACCTTTTAGGCTAGTTGTAGATGTGTTTGGAAGCCATTCGTAACATTTTAATAATATTTTGGCAAATTGAACCAAATGAACGAAATGACTCGAAAAAAGATTTGTTCATCTTGATGAACGAGACTCAAAGATCCGAGTCAGTAAAATGATCCGAACTTCCCATCACTACTGCAGATCAGCAACCCTCTAGGAATCGAGTTTGAACCTATGGTTTAACTAAAGTGACAACTCACTTTTGGTCCTGGTTCTCCAGTTCCTCTTTGCCCAGGGGCTCCAGGATTTCCAGGAAATCCCTGTTCTCCCTGAGAGAGAGTACAAAATAAAAATGTGTATTGATTTACATATATTTTTTTATTTTGTGGCTTTTATTGTACATTTTTACCTTTGGTCCTGTGAATCCTGTCCCAGGATTCCCTCTTTGACCAGGAGGACCAACCGGTCCTTGATTCCCCTATAGATATGTAGAATAAAGTCCAATAGTTTAGATAATAGCACATAAGCATGCTTTTGTCAAGCACATTCCTGAGCGTACTATACGAGAAGCCTAATTCTGTACATTGATATATTAAAAATATTGATATATAAAAAAGCCAGGCCTGTAAAATAACACATACTTTCTCTCCTTGAATTCCTCTGCCAGGCATTCCTAATGGTCCAGGTGATCCTGGAGGTCCTGCATCACCCTACAATTATTGTTATGCGGGATAAATTAAATGCATAATTGAAATTTATGTAAACAACAGGGCTCTCACACAACTGCAGCATACCTTTGCACCTTTAACTCCATAACCTGGTGGTCCTCGTGTACCTGTAGGGCCGGCATAGCCACGGTCACCCTAAAACACCAACACAAAACAGATTAATTTGTGATAATTTGATTTCAGATTATTTTTAAATATATATTTAACATTTCAAAATAAAGATTAATATTTAGGAAGCTTTCAGTTAATTTAAAAGTACAGAGGAAAATGGTTGTTTTGGTTATTGATGATATGATGAATTCCAAAAAATTCTTCAGGGAGCCAAAAAAAAAATTCATGAAAAAAAATGGATAGATAAATTTAGGATTGGAGTTCTTGCTAAGAAGATGCAGAAAAGCTAGTCCATGTTTTTATGACTTCTAGGCTGGATTACTGTAATGCTCTGTTTGCTGGCTTCCCAGCATCCTCTTAATAAACTTTAGCTAGTACAAATTGCAGCTGCCAGAGTTCTTACCAGGTCTAGAAAATACGATCATGTCACTCCCATTTTATCCTCCTTCCACTGGCTGCCTGTTAAGTTTCGTATTGATTTAAAAGTATTGCTTCTTACCTATAAAGCTTTAAATAATCTAGCTCCTGTTTAATCTAACCAACCTTCTTTCTCATTACAATCCAACCCGCTCTTTGAAATCTCAAAACTCAGGGCTTCTGGTAGTACCTAGAATAGCAAAGTCGAGTAAAAAAGGTAGAGCCTTCTTATTTATGGCTCCTAAACTGTGGAATAGCCTTCCTGATAATGTCAGAGGCTCAGACACACTCTCGCAGTTCAAAACTAGAGTTAAGACCTATCTGTTTAGTAGAGCATACACTCAGTGCATCACTTAGCGGTATGTTGCATTAATGTGCCTCACGCAGGTTTTTGCTTCTCGCTTATATACACTAATACACTATACTCTATGGGATACTCATCCCAAGGCCCTCAGACTATGCAGCGCCACTGATTCGATCCAAGACCAGCGACGAGATGATCCCAAGGTTCCATAATCCTGGAACAGGCCGTATCCTGAGCAGCTGCTGTGTGGTGGTCATGAAGGAGTGGAGAGCATGAGACTGATTCCTGTGACGCTCCAGGGACAGACAAGTCTTCGCTGAGGTCTAGCATTCTCCAGCCTCCAGCGCCTAGACTGCAGCTCTGCACAAGACCTTTGGCCATAGGAGAAATGGTCGTGCCCAACTGAGCCTGGTTTCTCTCAAAGTTTTTTAATTCTTCACTTTCGCCAATTGGTGAAATTTTTTTCTTACTAGCTTGCATGGTTTGGAATCTGTAGAGCTGCGCATCGATGGATTTGCTCTTCAGTGTTTGGTCTCTGTAGTGATTATTAACCACACTGAACTGAGCTAAACTAAATGTAAACACTGAAAACTGAACTACACTGTTTCAGTTTACTATGATCTTCTATGTGATGCTGCTTTGACACAATTTACATTGTAAAAGCGCTATACAAATAAAGGTGAATTGAATTAAATGAGAAGAAACAGGAACATCAGTCACTCTATCTGCTCACCTTTTCTCCTGGAAGTCCCTCTCCAGGAGCTCCTGGGTTCCCCTGTATTCCTTGTAAACCTGGTGGACCCTTTAATGCATGTATTAAGTTAATATAATCTATAGATAAATTGCACTCATATACAATACATAGCTGTGTTATACTTACAGGTAGTCCTGGCTGACCTATTCCAACTTGACCAATAGGACCAGCTCTTCCTGGGTTTCCTTTGACACCCTGGAGCAATCACACAAAGTTTTTTATTTATCTTAGTTTCTCCTGTTGCTGATTTCGATTGGGAACGTTTTTGTTTGTTTAATTTGTACTGAGAGATACTGTTGAGTGCAAGTCTACCTTTGGACCAGGGAATCCAACTCCAATATCTCCTGGTAGACCAGATGCACCAGTCGGCCCCCGATCCCCCTATGAGCCACCCAAAAGGTCAGTGATCCATTTGGTCCACTTAAAAGATTTCATAAAGCTGAAGAATTTGCTGCTAAATGCTGCCGATTTAATTTTAGTGTCGGTTTGCAACTTTTGCATGAATATTTATGCTCTTAGTATGTGGTGAAAGGGTTCAGTACATGTTTTGATCACTGAACTCATTCCCTCCTGTATGTTCCAAATGACATTTACAGAGCATAAAGACACTCATTGTGTCTAACAGTGTAGGGTTTTTGGCATTTTTATGTGCAATTATATGTCAGATTTTCAAGGCTCTCTTTGTTAAAACTTCACAGGCAAGTACAAAAGGCAGAAGGTCTGCATTTAAAACGACATGGAAAACCCCTAAAATGTCTATATTTCAGAAGCAAATATACACATCATTTCATTAGAAAAATAAGAGCAAGATATGATCCTACTTTAGGTCCCGGTTGACCTTCGCTTCCCTGGTCTCCTGGAGATCCTTTCAGACCCTAGTAAAATAATATGAACAAGTAAGTTGAAATTGGTCTTATTTAGAGCGTTGCAGCATTGTTTTTTTTCCCCACCTATTTTGATGTCTGCATAAAATTTAAATAGCACAAGTGATTTGAAAGCATATTAATTAACTACAATATTTTTTCAAATAACCAGCTGGGTTTCCATCACCCTGTGTTAATGTTCATTTTGAAGTATCGCATAACCAAGGAGTGATAGAAACGCCAAAATTTGAATCAAAAGTTTTTACTCATGCTTGAGGTGGTTTTGGACTTGCAAAAAAAGAGTTACACAAATAATAGCAAAAATTAGTACAAACACTTATCACAACCTAAATAAGAATAAAACACAACCAAGTTAAGAGCATAAATAAATGAGTTAAACAATGAGCCTTCTTTCTGTCTTTAACTTATGTTTTTTGAGGAAGCAAGAATGAGCTTATGATTACCTGTATGAACATAACTACTCATATCCAATGCTTTTTAAATGATTATGGCTTGTCAACCAGCAAGTTTTAGAGGGGGTTTGGCCACTTTCAAGATGGTTTTAGAGGGGTTTAGGCTGGTCAAGCAGCCAGAGTCCTTCTAAAAGCAGTCAGGAAGTTGCAAAAACCTCTCTAAAACCAGTCTGGAAGTGGCCATAGTCTCTTTTAAACCTGTCTGGAAGTGACCAAAGTTCCTCTTTAACCAACCTGCAAGTGGCTAAAACACCTCTAAAACCAGACTGGAAGTGGCCAAAAGGCCTCTAACCTCATCTGAAAGTGGCCAAAACACCTCTGAAAACAGCCTGGAAGTGGCCAAAATGCCTCTAAACCAATCTGGAAGTGGCCAAATTTCCTCTAAAACCAGTCTGAAAGTTGCCAAAACACCTCTAAAACGAGCCAGGAAGTGGCCAAAACACCACTAAAACCAGTCTGGAAGTGGCCAAAGTCCCACTAAAACCAGCCTGGAAGTGGCCAAAACGTGTATAAAACCAGTCTGGAAGTAGCCAAAGTCCCTCTAAACCAGCCTGCAAGTGGCCAAAACGCCTCTAAAACCAGTCTGGAAGTGGTCAAAGTCCCTATTTAACCAGCCTGGAAGTGGCCAAAACACTTTTAATACCAGTCTGGAAGTGGCCAAAACACCTCTAATAACAGTCTGGAAGAGGCCAAAATGTCTCTAAAGCCAGTCTGGAAGTGGCCAAGTTCCCTCTGAAAACAGCCTTGAAGTGGCCAAAATGCCTCTAAAACAGTCTGAAAGTGGCCAAAGTCCTTAAAACCAGACTGAGAGTGGCCAAAACCCCTCTGAAAACAGCCTTAAAGTGGCCAAAATGCCTCTAATATCAGTCTGGAAGTGGCCAAAGTCCCTCTAAAAGCAGTCTGGATTTAGCCAAAGTCCATCTAACACCAGCCAACCGACTCAGCCTAGTTTAAGATGTTTTTTTCAGCGCATAATTAAAAATGTCTTGCTTTTAAATGAGTAAAACTTGTTTCAACCTGCTTTTACTTTTCATTATCTCCATTTTTTACTGTCTCTAGCAAATCCTGAAAGCAGATTTTAACACCTAGTGTTTGTGCTGCTGTGAGCTGTAAATCTGGCCCTTGCTGTGCTAATGTGGGTCCTGAAGGACTCGACCCAGTCAGTCTGAGCTATTCTGTCTCCAAATAATCCCACAGCACAAAGTCGCTCTCGGAAAAAGAATAATATCCTGCAAGCCTGGATTCACTGCTTTACGTGTGTACATTAGCACTGGATTACCAGCGATCTGCCCATCACATTCCATGAGTGCAGACTGCGAGAAAAGCCACGACCTGCCATGAGCATCATGTTTATGGAATGAAATGACTCTAGTATGCTAAGACTAATGTATTTACATTTATAATTACATGTAATGTATAAAGTGTGCAGATATATTTTGGAGTTTGTGATGTGTTGTAGCTTTTTATAATCAGATTCATTTGATTAAGATTATTTGTTCATTTTTCCTTCAGCTTAGTCCCTTATTTATCAGGGTTCGCCACAGCGGAATGAACTGCCAACTATTCCAGCATATGCTTTACGCAGCAGATGCCCTTCCAGCCACAACCCAGTACTGGGAAACACCCATGCACTCTCCCATTCACACACACACTAACACAATATGGCTTATTTAGTTCCTCCAAGTCACCAATAGCGCATGCGTTTGGTCTGAGGGGTAAAGTGGAGCACCCGGAGGAAACCCATGCCAACACAGGGAGAACATGCAAACTCTAGAAACACCAACTGGTCCAACAGGGACTGGAACCAGCGACTATCCTGCTGTAAGGCGACCACTGTGCCGTCCTTTATTCATTCATTTTTTACTGCTTTCCCAGGGGGCGGGTCGCAGGGGCAGCAGTCTTCGGAGAGAACCCCTGACTTTCCTCTCCCCAGACACTTCCTCTAGCTCCTCTGGGGGGAACCCGAGGTGTTCCCAGACCAGCCGAGAGACATAGTCATCTCCAGCGTGTCCTGGGTCTTCCCCGAGGCCTCCTCTCAGTGGGACATGCCTGGAACACCTCCCTAGGTAGGCGTCCAGAAGGCATCCGAAACAGATGTCCAAGCCACCTCAGCTGACTTCTCTCGATGTGGAGGAACAGCGGCTCTACTCCGAGCTCATCACCCTATCCATAAGGGTGCGCCCTGCCACCCTGCGAAGGAAACTCATTTCGTCTGCTTGTATCTGAGATTTTGTCCTTTCAGTCATGACCCAAAGCTCATGACCATAGGTGAGAGTAGGAACGTAGATTGACCGGTAAATCGAGAGCTTTGCCTTTTGGCTCAGCTCCTTCTTTACTACAACAGACTGGTACATCGACCGCATTACTGTTGCCATCCTTGGTTAAAATTAAAATTGATTAAAACTCAGAAGCACATAAGTTCCTGATTTGAATGTAATGTGATTCTTGCAAAACTGAGTATGTCATTCATTACTCTACCATGCATTCAGTTACACCTGTAGTGTGACGTATATAATATGTGATGTAAAGAGGTAAATGTTTATACTGTGCCTGCTCTCCTCTCGGGCCCCTCGGCCCAGGAGGCCCTTCAGTGCCCTGCGAAATGAAAAATAAAACTGTTTTATTAATCATTTATAATGAGAATTAAAGCGCAAGCAGATCCTATAAGTCTTACCTTGTATCCTTTTTGTCCTGGTGGTCCACAATTACCTTGATCCCCCTAAAACATGATTCAAGACTTTAGTGATTGCATTGTGAAACGGAACAAGGGGTAATAATTTGGATCATGATCCAAACCTGGTGCAACAGTTTTCAGTGAAAATTACATGTGCAGTTTTAGAATTTGGGGGTGAACTATTCCTTTAACCCCTGTGTGCTGTTGGGGATGTTTGCATCCACTCTGGGGTGATTTTGAGTATTAATTTGGCCACAACTTTCTCTGTGTTTCAGCAAATGGAAGAATTTTTGGTGCCAAATCCCATTTTGACACATATTTTGGGAAAATGGTTTAGGATTTTTAAGAATACACTACCCTTTATTTACTACCCTTTCGTTATGTTTGTGGCTTTTTTTAACCCATTGACTTGTTTGCATTGCTTAGCCATGACACCATCATATAATCATGCATTTTTTTATCGTTGGTGGTTTTCCCTGAAGGGAAGAGGTCAAACTTGTGATTTTACTCCATTTAAAATCCATAAACTTTTTTTGCCCAGCCCTCTCTGAAATGTTACTGCAGCCAACTGATAATCAACAGTAAAAATTACACATTTGACCTCTTCCCAACAGGGAAATCCACCAACAATCAAGAATGCATGATGATATGGTGTCATGGTTTTGTATAAAAAAAAATGGGGCCAAAAAAGCCACAAACATAACGAAAGGGTAGTCGATTTGAACAATACAAAAGGGTTAAAATATGTAAATGTTAGAGATAAAGCTCTGACTCTAGATGTTTTACCTTATCACCTTTGAAACCAGGTCTCCCCTGTGGATGAGGAACCAGGAACAAGATCAGTGTTGGTCAGAGAGTCACTAATAAAACCAAAATAAAACCAGATCATATGAAGTCGGGATGTACCTCTGGACCATTGATTCCTGGAAGACCCGGAGCTCCCGTTTCCCCCTGGAAAATAAATCAGACCAAGAACAATAAATGTATTATGTATGATGTAATCATCATATTTACTTTATAATTATTTCCACTCTCACCCTTGAGCCTTTTGCACCCGGTGCTCCTTCATAACCTTGATCTCCTTTTCTACCCTAAACAGAAATAACACATTTATTAATCCTCATAAATGAGCAAAAACGGTGACAATTATGTCCCAGCGGTACTTACAGGAGCTCCAGGCAAACCTTGGTCACCTTTCTGACACAAGCACACCAACGGACGAGGACACTGGTGAGAAAAACACAGCTTTTTGTTGGATAATCTTGCTTTATTTAAATGAAACACAGTTTTTAATATACGTTGTTTCAAGATATTGATCTCCTTTTCAACAGTTTTAAGCTTTAAAACACATGCAGATGTTTTGTTTGTTGTTGTAGGAATGAATGAGGCACAAGCTGTAAAGGCTCCACCCCCTTGTGGAAAAAAGGGGGTGGAGAGCAACAGCTCATTTGCATTTAAAGAGGCATGTTACACCTAAAAGAGTGGCAAATATGTAGCATAATGTAAGTATAATAAATGATCCATGTGGCATTATAAGCTGAAACGTCACACACAGGGTGTCCACAAGGTCTTAAAGTGTCTTAAAATGTCTTAAATATACTGAAATTGTGTGTTGTAGGTCTTAAATTATTTTAAACGGGTCTTAATTTTCCTCTGTCAATGCGCTCACAGATATCTGCTGGTTTTTAATCCATCATTGAATCTATTTATTTACTTGTGTAAAAAATTTTTTTTAGTTTTTAAAATTAATTTCAGTAATATTATTGAGTAATATTAAAATATTTATATGATTTATTTACAATACAGTTTGTAATTTTGTATTTTCTGTCTTTTAGTTGATATATTATATAAGACACTTGTTTTGTTTACCAAATAAGTGGATCATTGGATTTGAATTTTAAACATTAAAAAAATTTTTAAAATGAATTATTTTTATTTTACGATGCTCCTAAAACCATTCCGCATAAATCTGCAGATTTTTAACAAAATTTTGCACAGAAATAGCAAAAATTTTTCCGCAGATTCTGTATGGCCCTACCAATCAGATAGACACCCATACAATAACCAACAATTAATCCTTGCCTGATCTCACGAGAAAATGTAGCTATTTGACGTTTTGTTAATTTAGTGGCAAATTTGTTCGAGTCCAGTCTTACGAAAATGTAAGGTTTTTAAAAGGATGCATGGAAACAAACAAAAAACAACAACAACAAAAACAAAAAAACACCCCTAATCCCTACCTCTTATTGGGGACAAGCAAATCGTACTGAATTGTGCGAATGAGAGTGTATGCATTTATACGAATTAGTCATTGAATCAAAAAGTTACGAATTGCCGTGAGATTCCGTTGACCTCATTAAAACTTTAAACAACTCTGTTTACCAATATAGTTTAATTATCTTCCTTAAAATAACATTTGTTTAAAAATTCTCTGTGTATTTTGGACACTGTTTTGCATAAATTCAGTTTATTATAGTTTTTAAAAATTGCCAATAAAAAAGACATGCATGTTTACAACTAGTTTACCTGTTTTGACTATTTAAAACTGAATTGACACAGTTTCAATTTACCATGATCTTCTATGTGAAGCTGCTTTGACACAGTCTACATTGTAAACGCACTATACAAATAAAGGTGAATTGAAGTGAATTAAAATGTGTGGCTATATATATATAAATAACTATATAATTTTATTTATTAAGACGACAAGTACATCTTTTTCATAGCCCACCCATGCCATTAGAAAAATCCTCAGTGTTTAAGATTTAGAAGTCTGAAATTTCATTAATAATGGTCTTTAAAATGTCTTAAAGTTTTAAATTTGACTTGGTAAAAACCCTGACGCACACATTATGGACACAACTGAGACCTGTATTACATTTTGTAAAAGGGATAAAATGAGAGCTTTACTTTTGGGCATTATTTTGGAGCCATATACATACAGTAAACTCAGAGCAATATAAAATACATAGCAAATCTCAATAACTTTATTGTAAGCTATTGTAAGTTACACTCGCGGGCCACTTTATTAGGTACACCTTACTAGTACTGGGTTGGACCACTTTTGCCTTCGGAACTGCCTTTATCCTTCATGACATAGATTTAACAAGGTACTGGAAATATTCCTCAGAGATTTGCTCCATATTGACATGATAGCATCACGCATTTGCTGCAGATTTGTCGGCTGCACATCCATGATGCAAATCTCCTGTTCCACCACATCCCAAAGGTGCTCTATTGGATTAAGATCTGGTGATTGTGGAGGCCATTTGAGTACAGTGAACTCATTGTCATGTTCAAGAAACAAGTCTGAGATGATTTGCGCTTTATGACATGGCGCTGGAAGTCCTTCTGTAAGTAGCCATCAGAAGATGGGAGCACTGTGGTCACGAAGGGATGGACATGGTCAGCAATAATACTCAGGTAGCCTGTGACGTTGACACAATGCTAAATTGGTACTAATGGGCCAAAGTGTGCAAAGAAAACATCCCCTACTCCATTACACCACCACTACCAGCCTGAACTGTTGATACAAAACAGGATGGGTCCATGCTCTTATGTTGTTGATGGCAAATTCTGACCCTGCCGTCCGAATTTCGCAGCAGAAATTGAGACTCATTACACCATGCAACGTTTTTTTTTTTTTCAATATTTGAGTTACTGTTGCCTTTCTATCAGCTAAAACCAGTCTGGCCATTCTCATCTGACCTTAACAAGGCATTTGCGCACACAGAACTGCCGCTCACTGGATATTTTCTTTTTTTCAGACCATTCTCTGTAAACTCAAGAGATGGTTGTGTGTGAAAATCCCAGTAGATCAGCAGTTTCTGAAATACTCAGACCAGCCCGTCTGACACCAACAACCATGCCACATTCAAAGTCAATTAAATCCCCTTTCTTCCTCATTCTGATGCTCGGTTTGAACTGCAGCAGATCGTCTTGACCATGTCTACATGCCTAAATGCACTGAGTTGCTGCCATGTGATTGGCTGATTAGACATTTGCAGTTGGACAGGTCTACCTAAGAAAGTGGCCGGTAAGTGTGTGTTTTTGTGTATGTGTATGTGCAGTGTGTGTGTGTGTGTGTATATATATATATATATATATATATATATATATATATATATATATATATATATATATATATATATATATATATATATATATATATATATATATATATATATATATATATATATATATATATATATATATATATATATATATATATATATATATATATATATATATATATATATATATGTATATATACACACACACACTGGCCACTTTATTAGGTACACCTCCCTAGTACCAGGTTGGACCCCCTTTTGCCTTCAGAACTGCTGTAATCCTTCATGACATAGATTCAACAAGATACTGGACATATTCCTCAGATATTTTGCTCCATATTGACATGATAGAATCACACAGTTGCTGCAGATTTGTCAGCTGCACATCCATGATGCGAATCTCCTGTTCCACCTCATCTCAAAGGTGCTCTATCGGATTGTGATCTAGTGACTGTGGAGGCTATTTGAGTACAGTGAACTCATTGTCATGTTCAAGAAACAAGTCTGAGATGATTTGTGGTTTATAACATGGCGCGTTATCCTGCTGGAAGTCTCCATCAGATGGCTATTTCCAGCAGGCAAGATGGGTAAACTGTGGTCATAAAGGGATGGACATGGTCAGCAACAATACTCAGGAAGGCTATGGGGGTGACACGGTGATCAATTTGTACTGCTCAAATCCAGTAGACTAGCAGTTTCTGAAATACTCAGACCAGCCCGTCTGGCAGCAACAACCATGCCACATTAAAAGTCACTTAAATCACCTTTCTTCCCCATTCTGATGCTCGGTTTGAACTGCAGCAGATCGTCTTGACCTAAATGCATGGAATTGCTGTCATGTGATAGGCTGATTAAAAATTTATGTTAAACGTATATATATATATATATATATATATATATATATATATATATATATATATATATATATATAT